CACAGCAAGTAAATAACAGACAAAGAAGTTTGAAGTTCAAAAAAATGGGAAAAAATTGAGTGGAAATCAATATGAATAAGTGCATTATTTGATTTTCGATTTTTCAAAAACTAGCAACAGTGAACTAGTTTATTAATTATTGAAATTTTTTCAATTTTTAAAAATAGAAGAACAGTGGGGATCAATTCCCCAAATGATTCTCCCTTAAAAAAAAAAGGTTTCGCTAATTACGTACGTTAAGTTTAAAAAATTGATAATCAGTTAACGAGGTCTTCCCAAATTATGAAGCCTACTCCCTAAATTTCCCCAAAGTATTTCCTGATTATTTCATAGGTTAATTAATGATTACCATTAATTAGTGCGCCCGATTACGAACGATGGAACGGGTATGCATGCGCGCACGCGCACGGCTGGAAATTGATTCAATTATTCAATTTATTAATTATCAACTCTTTGTCAATTCCCCAAATTATGAAATCTACAGAAATCGATTCCCCAAATGATTCTATGTAATTTTCAATTCAGAAAAATAAAAAATAAAAAATTTTCGCTAACTATACGTTTTAATTAAAAAAAATGAATAATTAATCAACGACTTCTCCCCAAATTATGAAACCCTCTCAATAAAATTCCCCAAATTATTTCCAAATTATTTGATAGGTTAATTAATGATTCACATTAATTAGTGCGCCAAGTATACGACGATCAACTATACTCAAAGCGAAGTAAATTGAAGAGTGACACCCGCGACCGCCACTTTTCCCCTGTCCAATGCATGAAACTTCAAAAAACTCAAAAGTCCCTAGCACCTAAAAAGAGCAAAAATAAAAATGTAAAGGGCGCAACTATTTAATTCGCTGAAATGATAGAAAGGGGCAGAAGTACGCAGTATAGGAAAAAGCGTGAATAATATAATTTATTAATTAACGCCTTTAATTTATTAAAAGGGCCAGGTATGTGGCGGTCACAACCGATGGACGGAATGAAAAATTAGTTCATATTCATGAATGCGCAATTTGCTTAAAAAATTGAAGACAAAATGTCTCAGAAATATTTTCTCAAACGATTGAGAATCTTTTTTTTTAACGCTTCCTTTTTTCTTAACAAATTTGAAAAATTTTTGAACGAATTGGTGAAAAAATGTCCTGCAAATCTATGCTTAAACGATTGACAATCAGTTGAAACCGCGTGATTTACAGGTCTCTCGGACCCTTTTTTTTCAACAATTCCTTTTTCGTTAACAAATTCAAAAACGATTAAACAAATAGAGGAAAATTGTCCTACAAATTTATGCTCAAACGATTGACAATCAGCTAAAATGGTAAGCTTGGGCCCTCGGAACTTTTTGTTCAACCATTTTTCCAATTTGTCAACAAAAATGGAACCATTGAAAGAAAATGATTCGAGAGACTAGTAAATCTTAACATTGCAGCTGATTCCCAATTGTTTGAGTATACATTTGTAAGACATAAATAATAAATTAAAATAAATACATTTGCAAGATATTTTTTGTCCAATTTGTTCAACAATTTTTCAAATTAGTTAACAAAAAAGGAATCGTTAAAAAAAAGGTTGCGAGGGACCATAAAATATCGACGTTTCCGGCGATTCTCAATCGTTTGAGTACATTATACATTTGCAAGACTTTTTTCCACAATTTTTTAAACAAATTGCGTCTTCATGAACGTGAACTCATTTTTCATTCCGTCCATCGGTTGTGTCTTCATCCTACCCCCACTCCGCTTTATATCCGATGTTTTCGTTGGTGTTCAGACGTCATCGTTATTCCGATAAATGCCTTACCTTAGTGACCATCACAGTCTCCTCCAATTATCGTCACTCTCGGGCTCGCGACCTGTTTTACTTACAAATACCGGCTCTGGCCATGTTGAATTGTTCTGTACAGGCGCTGGCAATCTCCCCTATAACTTCCGATACAAGCACAAAAATGTAAGGGAAATTGTCACGGCTTCAAAAGTACACTCATATTCGTAGAAGTCTTTGGCGATATGGTTGCGACATATCTTGAGATAAGAGGTTTTCGACGCGACATGTTCAAGAGCAGTCATTTACCCACAGAGGGTTAGTATTTGTTCAAAAGCGTCATCAGAGATTATCTAAAGATCCGGGCCCTGGTCGAATTTCACTTATGGAAAAATAAATTATCTTTGGAATGAGAATTTATCACTATACGGTTTGAACTAGAATTCGATTTGCACTAAAAAGTAGAGATTATCTATTCTTCATGTGGGGCACATTGGAGCACCCACTGATCTATACAAGTAATTCGCTTGGTTTTAAAAATTCATCTCTTTTTCCCTAATTAATATCAAGGGATGAAACAAACTATGGATACAATTTGTGAATTGATAGATGTTTAGAGTTTGAATGTACGTATTGTTTGTGAGCTTTATTTCTGAGTTTCATAATTTCTCTCGGTGTGTCTATATTATATATGATTGTGTGGATGGATGAGTAATGGTTTTTCTTGGGATTTATTATGAGTTTTTTCTAGGTGTTTGGATGAATGTTTTGATTGAGTGAATAGATGGACGGATGGCAATTTTTTCAAGTGTAAGGGTATTTATAAAGTAAATGGATTTTTTTTTTAATTAGTTATTTTACGTGCACGTTTTCTCTTCACTGAAATGACATGAATGAATTACGATGAAAGTTCTTGGAGATATTATCTCTACTTCTTCAGTTAACAGAAGCCCATCAACTAGTCTCACCTTCGTACCCTTCATCGCCTATGACTAGGTTTTCCTCTTATTATAGTGAATTTCCCATCGGAAGTTTAGCGCAGCTTTACTTTAATGTAACGGTTGGATTTGGCTTTTGTTTCATGTGATACTTTCAGACTTTCATCCCTAACTCATCAGTGAAAACACTCCTTATTGACCCTAATAACCGTCAATTTTGGTTTACAAATCCAAACTTTCCTTTCCTCCTTATATGATTTTTATGATTTCGCATTATCTTCTTTAATCCTTATTTCTGACTTCCCTGACTTTTGTGACCCGTAGTTTAACACTTCATTGTGACCCTCACCTTCGATTTCCCTAACCTTCTGATTATAAATTTCTTTTTAAACTTTCGACATTTTTGATAGAATATTTTTATGATAGGTAATTCCGAAAAACTGCGAGAGCTAATATTTAAGACATAAAGTTCAACAATAAAATCTTAGGAACTTGCCCTGCTACACTAAATTGCATAGCTTGATGGATCAAGTACAAAATGAGTACTACACTGAGAAAAAATTCTCTCAAAATTTAGTGTACCTTTTCACCAACGCTGGGACGTAACATGGGGTGTACAAGGAAATAGAGGGAGACACTGGACAAAATGGTATGCCTCACTCAAAAATTCGTATGTGGCACCCTAATTTTTGAGAGGCATGCACTACTTTTTCATGCGTTTCCTCCAGTTTCTCATGTGACCCTTCCGAAAAAATGAGTCAGCAGCATTTCAATTTCTCATTGATGGAGTACA